TTTTATCCCTTTTTCACTTACTGAACTCTATAAGAAGTTTTCCATATCCTTTTCTTTGATAGGGTGGCATTGTAAGAATACAAGCAACATTGTAATCTTGTGTTGATTCCTTTTCTTTTGAGAAGTAACCCACTATGTGAAATCCCCTATTATCAAATACTGTCATCACATAAAATAGAAATGGGTCAGTGTCATAATACAATGTTTTGTGGTCAAGAAACAATTTTGCAAGCAAACACAAATTCTGAGCATATCCTTTATTTTTGCGACCATCAATCTCAAAGAACGATATGTTGCCTTTTCGGTAAATTTCATTTCCTGGAGGATGACGTAAATTGCACTTGGCCAGGTGCCTTTCCAGACATTTTCGACTTTTGCAATATTTCAAACAAAACTCGCAAATATAGATACATGGAAGTCCTATCATTTCCTAAGATAAGAAACGATTTTATTATAAAATTTAAACTACACTTCGGATTGGTAATTTAATACAATGTTAACTCAGTACCTTAACGTCTCTTTCCAAGTTACAGTCATACATAAAGTGTGTCCCACTCCAGGGTACTTTCTCAATAAAAAACTGTAATAATATGTTATTTTAAAAACCAGTAGTTGAGCAATATTTTTGTAATAATAGCCGGATTTATGGGCTTTGACCAGGTGAAACCAATTAAAATTTAACAAAGTTCAAAATATCTCAAGTACAATCCATGATCAGTGAAAATAAATTCATACAATAGTCAATATTGAAATCTACACTCACAATTAGTGATGTAAAAATAAATGTGTATGAAACAATATAAAACAGTCCTTTTAATATAAAAAATTCATTCATGTCATCTAGATGCAGTGATTAATTAGTTAATATTAGCTATTTCCTAAAGCATTAAAAAAACTTTGAAAAACAGTAAACTCAAGCCCGTGACAAGCCTTGATGATCTTTCTTTTCAAAAATGAATTGAGACTTAAAAAAATAGATAACATTCCATTTAAAACAATCATCTATATTTTGAAGAAAATTTAAAATATTCAGCAAATAAATTCATACTATTTTTACATTAAGTTACATCCATACTATTTTTATATGGAGTACAAAGTCTATACTGGTGGAGGACACCTATATATATGTTAATCTGAAATAGTTTTATAATACACCTAGTTAATGAAATATATCGAATTACCTGTGGATAAGGGGCAAAATACCAAGGTTTAATTCGATGACGTCCCAACTCAATCATTTCCACGTTTTTCATCCTAGTTACAACATCATCATTATGTGACACCATACTCCCTGACTGCCTTGGCCCCTGAGGAGGTTGCAATGCACCCTCTTGTGAATCTTCATTTTCTAGCGTAGGACCCTTCCTTTTTCTGTTTATACGTTTTTGGAGAGCTGCGGCTAAAACCGCATTGCCATTTACTAATTCATTGCTAAACACAGGACTGGAGGGCCTAGAAAAATACCATCGAATAGAAAATCACTCTCCAATGTGCTAGATATAGAATTTACTTACCTTGATATCGGCCCTCCTGCACCAATATGGATTTTTTTAGGTGTTGAAACACCTGTGTTACTTCCACCATCTCTCCTTGGAAAATGTACCTTTCGTGTATCCAAAGATTCTTCACCAACCCATTCATCCAAACGTTTATTGACTAATGGAATATGAATGAATTACACTAACAAATTTATCTAACCTATCTATCTAATACTTACAATCAACATAATGAACATAGTACAACTTTTTGCCATTTTCTTCTTTTAAGCTAACCAGTTCTGCTAGAGCTATCAACCAAACACTTGTAAGTTTTAAATAAATGAAATCTTAAAAAAACTTACGCCAGTCATCGGTTCCTGACATATGGACAGGAAGTCTACATCCCTCAATTAAGGATGACTATTAAAAACATAGTTTGGTCTTACGATAATACAGTTGAATAATAACTTACCACTGAATCGCACAAGGCAGAATCGTCAATTTCTTCCATTGTAACTTTCATCACATAACAATCTTTTTAAAACTTTCTCAAAAAACTCACACGTTTGCAAAAGAATTATTAAAAACTACTTTATAATGTAACTTTACTTTATAATGTAATGTATAATTTTTGTAGGTTGTTTTTATTTTGACTTACAGATTTGACGTTTGACTTATCTATGCGTTTGACCATAAATGCATGAAATGAAAGCACTTCCAATTTTCTTGGATTTCGTCAGAGAAGAGAGACGTCTCTCTTCTCTGATTTTGTAGATGTATTTATTAGTCACATTTATGCCTCTATTGTTTAGTACTGCAGTAGTAAATTTATTAATATTTCTTAAAAAATATTGATTCCGGATTTACTTAATTTTTTTAANTATGTTAGGAGTTCATAATAGAAAATATTAAAAATGATATATGTCCTGTTTATGATATAGTTCAATTTAAAAGGTTGTCCACTATCTATGGTTTGCTACACACAATTGTGGCTGTCAATTCTTCAATTTCAATTATCATTGTCATCAACTATTTGCAGTTTTTTTGAAAAAAAGAAACAATTTAAACTATTTTCTCCTTTGGTAATTCCAATTCTATTTAATTTGGTATTTTATCGTTTAACGGAAAGTAAGAACTTACATACTCCATTTTGACCTATGTTTCAATTGTTATTTATATTTTGTAGGCGTTATAGAAATTGATTGCTAAACATGAAACTTAATGAGAAAATTGTAGTATCACATTCTTTTCGTTTTAGAATACAAACAGAAACACCATAATAAGTAAAACTTTATCCTGGCTATTAAGGCATGCTGCATTAAGGGAAAATTTGAATGTGTCTCCTGATGGTTTTGTTGACATTAATGAAGTCTTACAACACAAAAGACTCAAAAAAATTAGCTGTACTCCTGAAGATGTACGTGAAGTTGTAGCAACTAACAGTAAACAGAGATTTACATTGCGTGATAGACAAGGTACTCTGGAAATTTGTGCCAATCAGGGTCACTCTTTTGTAAGGTTAATTTAGATGTTAATTATTTTGTAATGAAAGTTTTAATTATTTTAGCCTGTAGACAATCTTGAACTAATTCCCGTTATGCCCTATGAATTTGACTATGTTATTCATGGTACATATTTGAAAAATTGGGACTCAATAAGAGTTTATGGTTTAAAGCGAATGAAAAGAAATCATATACATTTCTCTAGTGGTTTACCTAGTGACAAAAATATTAAGAGTGGGATAAGATTTGATGCCGAAATATATATCTACATTGATATAAACAAGGCATTACTATCTGGACTGAATTTTTTTAGAAGTGTGAATGGTGTGGTATTAAGTTCAGGCAATGAAGACGGAATAATAGAAACCAAATATTTTCTTAAAGTTGTTAATGCTAGTAATGGTATGTTATATAGATACCTATATTCTTTCAATAGAATGTATTGATTTGCAG